CACACACAATATCACAGACTTTCAAACCGCCTTCCACAAGTCTTGACACTGATCTAAGCCCTGAGCACACACTGCCTGAGACTATAACCCCCCCCCCCCGTAACTACACACACACCACACTCACACAGCCTGAGCCTATTAAGCCAGTCGTAGAAGTCTAAACAGGCAGCGAGCTGAGCAGTGAGGTAGGTAACCCCTCAGGGCCACGGAGAGAGTAAAACCAAGTCAAAGGAGGAAAAGGAGAAAGAGAGGAAGGGAGGGAGGGAGGGAGGGAGAGTGAGGGTGAGGGTGAGGGAGAGTGAGGGTGAGGTGGAGCAAGACAGAGGAAGAAAGAGAGGGAGACGAGGATGGGGGAAGTTGAGGTGTGGAGAAAAGGAAAGAAACAGAAAAAGGAGGAGATGAGGATGTTGAGTGATTAAAAAAAAGAAAAAAGACAGTGAGAGATACAAGGAGGAGAAACTGAATGGCAGCCCCACACACACACACACACACACACACACACACACACACACACACACACAGGGGAGGAGAGTGGATGTGGCTCTTTAGGAGTCAAGCAGGCGTATGATAGGATATCGTTGCATGTCGTTAACCCTATATTAACCCTGAGAGGCAGCGGGACAGTCACTGCGCTACAACATGGATTAACTGGGCCACACACACACACACACACACACACACACACACATATATATATATATATATATACACACAGACACATACACACACATACGCTGGGACGATGAGCAAGCTGTCAGTCACACACATACACACAAGGACTGATATCCTCACTCACACTATGCAAGGAGCTGTCAATCACATGCAAACTCATTCTTTTCTCCATTTCTTTCACCTGTTGGTAAACCACAAATGAAATGGCATCTTATTTTCTTTAATTTGATGCATTTCCTGCAGAGGAGGACACGCTGAGGGGAAGGGCAGCATTCTTTTAAAAAAATCTGAAATGTTTTTTTTTTTTTGTTTGTTTTTTTTAATTGGTTGAGTTCACTCAACAGCACGGCGTGTTTTCACCTGTGACATGTGTGAAGGTATGGGCTGTTCTAGATCCAACGCTCCTCTGTCCATCTGTGTGCTATAACAATCCAATAGGAGTCGTCATCAAAGTGACAAGGACACGATCCCTCACTGGCTTCCCACAACAGGACAATGATCCGAAGCAGACCTCAAAACTCCAGCATGAACTATATCAAGAAACACAAGCTGAAGCTTTTGCAATATCTCCCAGATCTTAAACATGCTGTGTGTACAAGACAAACCTAAAAGGAGCTCAGGACTGAATCAGCTGCAAAAAGCATCTACAGGCTGTGATATCTGCCAAACGGAGGTTACTATACTGACTTAGTAGGATGCCCAAACTTTTGCACACGACAAAATACTGTTTAATTTTTCCCTGTTTCCTATATGTGTGTTTACTGCAGAGATCGTATTTACTTCTTTTCCCATCAAAAATCAACAACATACATCATCTGCTGAGGCGTACAGCTGTATCTTAATATCTGCTTGTTTACAAGCACTAACACACTTATAGCTCTTATTTTGACTCTCTCTCTCCACATGTTTGGGTTGGACAGCACAGATCCAGATGTTAAACTGAGAGGCTGTGAACCACTGCAAAGTAGGGGGTGGGGGGTACAGGAAGTATCCCACGGTATCCACGGTAACCTTGACATTCCATCCTGACCAAGTTCCCTGACATCTCCCACAATTCACTCTGCTCCTCTCTCTTTTAGCCATCACACACACACACACACACAGACAAACAAGGAAACGCTCCAACTCTGTTATTTTGTCTTTTAACTTCCTGTCTACACTGGAAGTGGGAATGTGTCACAATAGCTGTGTCCCAATTCAGGGACTGCATCTTTCAGAGGACGCAGTCTTTGCCGTTGTGGGCTGCTAAGACCGGACCGAAGCCCTCCTCTTGTCGCCTAGCAACCTTAGCAACATGTAACTTTTTTTTTTTTTTTTTTTTTATAAAAAAGGCCCCCACAGTTAAACCGTTAGCTGTTCAACTGAGCTGAAACCCAAGACTTAGATTTAACAGTGTAGTTCCTGGACTCTCTTGGCATTGTTTGCTACCATATTATTTTCATAACTGCAGCGCAATGAATCTTGGGATTGAAGGAGCCTTTTTAACATAGAGGTAATAAAAAGATCAGTTCTCCTGCACAGATCTGGGATCAGCTGATCATGTTATTGTCATGGTGGCTGGTCAGAATGTGTTGGTATTTGTGTTCAAATCAGGATGATATGAGAACAGAAAAATAAAAGTCTTTTTAATCCAATGTCTGCAGAGGTATGAGGTCATATGAGCTCCTCCTTAATGTCGATGTATGTTCCCAGCTTTGAAAAATGTGTATTAGACAGTATGAAGTGGTCAGGACCACAATTCTTTACCTGTCTTTACTGTATCCATCAACAGAAACCAGAATCAAGAGACAAAAAGAGAGATATAGGACAAACCCAAAATGGGCGGGCTGCACGAGGTCAACAGTCACCAACATCAATCCAGTAACACACATACTATTATTATATATCTATTATAATATATCACCTGTTCTTTCTATTTGTGGCCCAACCCAAGTCACAACACACACATGCAAAGATGTACACACAGATGCACACACACCTTCCAGGCAAATGTATAATGGTGTGTAAGACGAGACGTCTGAGAGAGCCGACAAAAGCAGAGAAATGGGGCTGTGGCATAAAGATACTATAATGTCCTGCACACACACACACACACACACACACACACACACACAATTACCTGTCGATCATGAAGCCTATTGGACTTTGCACACACATACACGCACACAAACTGAGATTCATGCTCTTTGAAATAGATCCATCAAAGCTCACTTTGAGACACAAGTGTTTATCCACTTCATAAGATTTCTCCAAACACAAAAATAAGTGGGGGAAGTGAGGAGGGGAGAGGAGGGGAGAGGAGAGGAAGATTTAAACTTACATATCCTTAAATATTACAAAGATTTATAAATAGAATATAGAATTCATACACACACACACATAGACATAAATTATATGTATGAACGTACATATATATATATATATATAAAACTTATTTCTATAGGGTCAAGATAAGATAATATTTTTGTGTTAAGAGATGTTAGCATATACATATATATATATATATATCATAAATATATAAATATAACACACACGCAAAACGGGACCAAGGGAATGCTTGATATTCAGATTTGATTTTGATTTGATTTGATTTGATTTGATTTGATTTGAAAAACACATGAAACATCAATTCATGTATATTTGACCCTCGGATAAAGTACCAGAAAGTGTTACGCTACGTGAAACACTTTGCTTTGTTTCCTTTGTGGTTTAAGAACAAAACAACAACACTTTCACACCTTTGGCTGCCTCAGCTGTCAAAGCCGTGCTGAATCGTTGCTCTGGGGTTAAAGCCTTGCACCTCCTCTCCAAAATGCAGAGAATCAGGAACTAAGAAAAGACTCGCATGACCTGATGACAGTGTGATTTGAGTTGAATTGATGTGGAAGGCATGAATATCGCCAAAAACAGAAAGTCAAGAGCTGATAGCCATTACGGTCACCTATACTGTAAAAACACCAGGTGTACAGACAGGAGTGTGAAGTTTGTAGCCAGTGAAGATCATTAAAGAAGAGGGCTGGAGATACAGTGACATCCTGTCAGTGCTGTGATTATGTTCTGTATTAAAAAGGGCCTGAATATTTTCACATAATCATACATCAGGTCACACTGGATAATATTTACTATAATCTCATCAAAAAAGGCTTTAACTTGTTCATATATTCAACATTTTGTACCGTGTCTACAACTTTCTACAACCAAGAATCGATGACTGGCTTCTCTGATAATGTAGTGAGAGTGATGAGAATCAGCATAATTTCACCTCCCCTGATGTGAATTACTCACTGCCAAACACACACACACACACACACACACACACACACACACACACACACACAGAAAACACACACTCACACACAGAAAACACACACTCACACAGCAAAAACCTGCTCACAGAGAGTTAAAACAACTGCCAAGAAGAAATCAGATTAAAATGAGGTTGGATCTCATTTCAGTTTTTCTCTGTCACTTTTTTTTTTCTTTGCTCATGACCCATTTTTCTGTGCTGCTGCAGGAGAGACAGAGGGGGGGGATAACTTCAGTCCTCCATGTCGACAGACAGACAGACAGGAAGAAAGAAAGAGGCAGACAGACAGACAGGAGCGTCAGTGACAACGACAGACAGCTCCTGCTCGTAAACAGCTTTGTATTTTGCATTACGTAGAGGAAACACACACACATGCATCTGAGCACTGTTTGTTCACTCAAGTCTGAAGGTGTGCATGTGTGTATGTGTGTGTGCGCATGAGGCTGAATCTGCCAAATATGAGGTAGCAACCGAGCAGCTGATGTGCATTTGTGTCCCCTCTGTTATAACATTACCGAACTGCACATGCACATGTAAATAAAACGTGTGTTTGTATGTATGTGTGTGTGTGTGTGTGTGTGTGTGTGTGTGTGGACCTTTAATCCCTGCTACTTTCAGCAATTCACCTCCTCTCACGAGTCCTGCTGTTTGTGTTATAAATGCAAAGCGTCAAGCCTCAAATGTTTCACTCCGTCTGGCTTCAGAAGCCAACGCTTCTATCTGAGGAGCATCTATTTCAGGACTGACAGCGGATCATCTAAACACACAAACACCCCATCCCACGCCGCCATTCAAACATAGGTCACTACAAGTCCCTCATCCAGCGTGTGTGTGTGTGTGTGTGTGTGTGTGTGTGTAAGTGTGTGTGCCCGGGAGAGAGAGAGAGAGAGAGAGAGAGAGAGAGAGAGAGAGAGAGAGAGAGAGAGAGAGAGAGAGAGAGAGAGAGAGAGAGAGAGAGAGAGAGAGAGAGAGAGAGAGAGAGAGAGAGAGAGACAGACGGAGACGGAGTGAGAGATGGTACCTGTCGATGATAACAGGGTCTGAGGGTGTCTCATTACGGTTTCCACAGCTCTTCTTGTCACAGCACCGACTAAAAGAGGGGAAGAGAAAAGAAGACACAGGGCGAAGTTAGAACAGAGTCAGACGCAGGGAACACACAGTACAGTATCTGGAGGTTCAGATTCAGCTCATATAAATGGCAGTGTTACATTATGCGCTTTGTCTGTACTCATGTAAAGCGTGTGTGTCACCAAATTCACAGCAATTGATCAAATCTGTCTAAAAGAGGCCACCGGGAGTTTTACAGAAAGCCTGCCACGCCGAGCAGGGCTCCGCTGACTGCACCGATAAAAATAGACTCATAAGGCGAGTGTATAGCGGCATCGAGAGAGAAATACACTGTGTTTTAAGGGGACCAGCCAGATGGTGAGCTTAGCCATTTTGTGTTTGTGCTCCAAAACCCTGCTAAATCTTAGTACACACACTGTAGTACCTAAAGCCATAATGAGTCTACCGACTGTTAGTAGTTTAATCTCAAACACAGTTATAGAAGACGTGTGTTTTCTAGCTCTGCTCAGTGGATAAACACAGTCCATCATTTCTTTCTACTACTGTCAGCTTTAAAAAGGTGTATGACGGACACACACAGGGAGACTGCCTTGTAAAAAAACGAGCCCATAGGTCGTTTGTGCAGCAGGTTACTATGACCCATAGTGGCGTTTTGTTGTTAGGCAACATGTAGCGGCCGTAGTAATTATGACAGGAGCAAAGGGAAAAGAGCGGCGACGCAGTATAAAGAGCGTCGAAGTCCGAGGAGTCAGGAGAAGGGAGGTTAGGGTGGATGGAGAAAACACGGGAATATGACACAGGAGAGCGGCGAAGGCAAGCAGTTTATGTCGTAACCATGGCAACGAGGACAGCGTAATGTTAAGGAAGTACTTATTTTAACTCAAATCACAATCTTTTCCTAAACCTAACCAAGTAGTTTTTGTGCCTAGAACTAACCAAGCAATGACCATTATTATAGTAACCATGGCGATGAAGGTAGGTACGCCACTGCTGGTACAGCCGGCGTGTTTATTATTGTAACCATGGCTACCGGCATAGGTGCGATATTTCAGGAGACACTCCTCTGGGTCGTATCAGAGGGGGGAAAGAAAACGCTGGTTGTTCGGGTTGGAGGAGTTGTTGAAAGTCGGGCCCGACCAAACCATTGGCACCATCTGGTTACCATCATTACATTTAACTTTTCTTTTTCTTTTTTTTCTCTCTCTCTTCCCAAACATTAAAAAAAAAATCTTTGTGCTCAGTGTTGGCTTCTGATAGCCTGCTCCTTTTCGGATCTTGTTCCAAGTCGGTGACATATCCTGTTTGGTTACACTCCAAGTCTAACAGCCTCTTTGTTTATTAGCAGAGCACAATGCACAAACCATTCAGGCAGTAATTTAGCTAAAACAGCAAATGAACACCAAATTATGTCCCGGGGCTCTCCCTAAACAGAGGAACAATGGTGCTGCACATTATCTCCATATGTCAAGAAACCTTTAAAATCTGTGGCATCTCATTTTAAGATTTATGTTTTGACTGTTTTGCTTGTAAATAATGTTATGAATAACAGACACAGATCATATTGATGTCTGCAGTATGTTCTTATTGCTGTAAGACGAATAACAAGACAATCTCCTGGAAACAGTTTCTACTCGTTTTAGATCTGGAGCAAAACAGTTTATTGACTTCCTGCTTATTTGAGAAAAAAAACAAAACAAAAAAAAAACCAGGCTTTAATTTTTAAGAGTTGCACCACATGACAACTATCCTATCCTGAATGTGCTGATGAACAGGTGGAGTGAAGGGTGGAGAGGACTAAAGAGGCCTGAGGCTGGGATAAACAAACACACATACACACGCGCGCGCGCACACACACACACACACACACACACACACACACACACACACACACACACACACACACACACACACACATCCTTTGCAGCATTGTCGCGAGGCCACGAGCGCAAGTAAACGAAAAAAAAAAAAAAAAAAACCTGGCATGTGCACCAAAATTCACACATGTACGTACAACAAGTCTGTCTTTCTTGCTTGCATCAATTATGAATAAAGGTGTAAGCAGGAGGGGTGGGGGGGTGGGGAGTGAAAGGGTGAGCATGGGAGGGAAAGCTAAGACAAGAGGGTGAGAGGCAGAGGAAGGGTGGTAGGGTGGGAAGAAGAGGAAGGGGAGACGTCTCAGGTTTCCCACTGTCACAGATGGCAGAGGTGAAAAGAAAGAGACTGATATGTTACACCTTACACATTGTCTCCACTATCTGCTGCTCTGCCTCCCTCGCTCTCTCTCTCTCTCTCTCTCTCTGCTCTCTCTGCTCTCCCTGTCACTTCCTCTCCGCTGCTCTGTGATCTGGGTCACTACTCGGTCGCCACCGGAGAGCGGCGAGGAACCAGCGAGAGGCTGGAGAGGAGGGAAAAGGTGGAGGGGATAAGGGGATGGGAAAATGGGGAGCAGAGGGGGGGTGGGGGGGGCTAAGTGATGAGGAAGGAGGGGCATGGAGGCAGGGGAGGATGAGTGAGGGTGGGAAGAGGAGGGGAGGGGTGAATGAGGAGGGGGGAGGACAAGAGGAGGAAGAGGAGAAGGGAGCAGAGTGGAAGACGTTATAAATGGAGGGGTGGCGGGAAGGAAAACGAGGGGAGGGATCGGGGGTAATGTAGCACTTATTGCTCTGGATCCTGGTGATCTAATCATCTGCTCTCCCCCCTGCATCTCCTCCTCCTCCTCCTCATCCCATCACTACACACACACACACACACACACACTAGTCTCAAAAGCATGACTGGGAGATGCCACTTTCACTTGTTCTTTATGTGAAAATATAAGAAATGTACATAATAAATTTTTACAGTAGCTTTGGTTAAAGGAAGCAGACTGAGACAATGAATGAACTGATAACTGCTCAGTCGTTATGTCACAATAATTCACAGGTTCCAGCTTCTCAGATGCTTCGGTCCGTTTTGTATCATTGTAAGTTCAACATCTTTGGGTCAAGCAGTTTAAAGACTTCAGTTTGGGCTTTGGGAACAAATTTCAGATACTTCATGGACCAAATGACGAATTGATTAAACATAGAAACATGAACACTTGACTGTTGAGCACACTCACTTTTCAGGTGAATCAAGGTTTCCAGCTTTAAGCCACCTGAATCAACTGTATTTGTTCATGATTTGCACTTGCTGTTTTCTTTGTTGTCACTTCATGAGATATACAACAATAAATGACTCTATGTTTGATAATCTTTGAGTATAATTCCCTAATGAGATATCTGGCATTTCAATATTAACATAATCTTCATTTTCAAGAGGCAATTACCGCCAGTGGGAAATCTGCTAATGGACATTTTCTCTTCATGTTTTAAACACAGAGAAATAAAAGTAAACCAATATTTCCACTAGAAACATGATACAAACTGTTCAGTTCTCCCTATCGTCCATTCAGCGGTAAAAACCTTTCAATAGTTTGTGCCAGAGCTCCAACCAGGTTTTCGAGGCAGGTCTGTGTGGTGGCAGATTGTCTGGGAGCATATGGCTAATAGCACCACCATGACAATGAGCCACACGGATTAATGGACGCCCTGAGCTCTTTGTGTTGTGTGTGCTCCACGTTGTGTGTTGTGGGTGAGGCCCCCGCTGCAGAATCAGCATGTGAGAACACGAGGCAACAGCCGTAACTTTGACCTCAGCAGCTGCTGCAGACGAGCAAACAGTTTACACTCGTTGCAGAAGTCGTACTTTGTGCGCCGCTGCTGCACTGTTGCTCCCCCAGAGGGAACGTTTGAATAATCCTGCAGGACAGACGCAGGGCGGAGACCTCTCCACTGTACAAGTACAAGTTCATGCATGCTGTACAATGCACAACAGTTAAATCTTGTCCGCAAGACATTCGCCACATGATGAACAACAATAATTTACAGTAAAATCTGTTGCCAAATACAATTTATTTATAAATTCCTTGCAAATCACATCAGAATTTCAATAGGTTTTCCATAAACCTCTGCAGCTGAACTGCCTGAGGAATATTCAGCCAGCTATAGAATAAGATATTAGTGTGCCTGATTTCACGGTTTAAATCCCTGCTTGTGCATACAGATGAACCCCAATTTATATTGTTACACTTAAAGTTGTTCACTGACAAGGTCAGGGAATAAGAACAACTTAATTCATGTGCTAAATTTGAATTTTTATAAGTGGTGTGCACGAGCGAGTGTGCATATGCATTCTCCTTTGTGAGTATGTGTGTGTATCTGTGTGTGTGTGTGTGTGTGTGTGAGTCCCTGCCTATATTTTATAGTCAGACTGTGGAGGAAGGCCCATTTGTTAGCCATGAAACAACAGGAGGGTTCAGATTGACTAATGAGTTTCTCTGTGTCCTAATTAACCAGGCGTCACAGACACACACACACACACACACACACACACACACA